AGTGGCACCAAACTGTATGAGCAGTCAGGGTCGTTTTCACGGCCACATAATCGCGGTAAAAAATGCCAGTTTCACTTAAAAATATCCTTGATAAAGCAGTAAAAATCATTAATTTTATTAAATCTTGACCCTTGCATATCATGTTTTTAGTATTCTGTGTGATGGGATGGGAAGCATTCATAAAGTGGTTGTGTTGCATACACAAGGATGATGGTTTGTCTTGAGAGAAGCACTTGTGTGGTGGAGTCATGAGCTGAACTAACTGCTTTTCTGTGTAACATGATTTTTATTTGAAAGAATGACTGACAAACTATAATTATTCATACTGGGTATTTGGCAGACATGTTCTCGAAAATAAACGAAGTGAGACTGTTACTTCAATGAAAACAATTGACAGTATTTGTTGCCAATGATAAAATCTGAGCTTTCAAGAAAATGAGAATTTTTGACGATTTGTGTCTGCACCTTGACCTTGCTAGTTTTGCAATATTTGAAATACTTTCTTAATGAGATTGGACTGGAGCCCTGGTGATGGAGTGGTTAAGAGCTTGGCTGCTAACCAAAAGGTCAGCAGTTCAAATCCACCAGCGGCTTCTTGGAAATCCTATGGGGCCGTTCTACTCTGTCTTCGAGGGTCGCTATGAGTTGGCATTAACTCGACAGCACACGACAACAATGAGATTGGTGGTGATGTTAACAAATGTTGAGTTTTTAGATTGTTTAACGAAATGTATCAACATTTGGAATATCTGTATAATTCAATGAACCGATATTTTCCAAATGACCAGTCCATGATGTTAAAAAATCACGTGTGAGGAAAAAGATCCATTCAAAGTATAAGAGAGACCAATGGATTTTAATGTAACAAAATATGAAATTTTATTGATATGGTTTCAGATTCTACATTGTAACTAGTCTTTGAGAAACTACCACTGGTTGAGTTGCTGTAGTCTGAATGAAGAGTACTCAAGTATCTGAAAAGGCTAGTAATTACTTTGCCCTTTACCATCTACAGATCTGTGTGAAGCCAGATTTTTTTTTCCATATACATGAACCAAAACAACGTATCACAACAGATTGAATGTAGAATATATTCTATTAAACCAGACATTAAAGAGATTTGTAAACATGTAAGGGAGTGTCGTGTTTTTCACTAATTTTTTTTAAAAATATAGTTGTTTTTGATAAAAAAGATGTTATTTGTGTTAACAATTTGCAAGGGGTTTATTGTTTCAAAATGAATAATTATTTAAAAAATTTTCTGTTTAAATCTCTAATACAGTAATATTGATAGGAATAATCCACACAGAAAGAAAAAAAAAGGAAAGTTCTATGGGGTCCTCAATAATTTTTAAGAATATAAAGGAATCCTGAGACAAAAAAGTTTGAGGGCCACTGTTTTGTGGTTTCAACTTTCAAATCTAAATCTTTGATCCATCCGGAAATTATTTCGGTGTACAAAAAAAAAAAAAAAAAAAAACCACGTTGCCATTGAGTCGATTCCGACTCATGGTGACCCTATAGGACAGAATAGAGCTGCCCCATAGGGTTTCCAAGGAAGGCCCAGGGGATTCGAACTGTGCCAACCTTTTGGTTAGCAGCTGCAGTTCTTAACCACTACACCACCAGGGTTAAGACATGGTTTGTTTTTTTTCACAGTGACTATCCAGTTGTTCCCAGCGTCTTTTACTGACCAGTCTGTCTGTTCCCCACTGACCTGAAATGTCATCTTTATTCTATGTTAAATTTCCAAATGCATTTGGTCTATTCTGGACTCTTTTCTGTTCCATTGATCTGTACGTCTGTGCATGTGTTCATGCCACCATGTTTCAGTTATTGTGGTTTCATTATATATTATATACCTGGTAGGATTAGTTCTCCTTCAACACTTCTTTTTCAAAATTGTATAGCTATTTTTTTCTTTATGAATTTTAGAATCAGTTTATCTGGTCACTCTTGACCTTTCCTTTTGCCGCTCCCCTCCCAACAAAATTTTGTTGATATTTTTATTAGGATTGGATGTTAAATTTATAAATCAGCTTTGAAAGAATTGATATCTTTATGGTGTTGAATACGGAGCCTTGGTGGCACAGTGGTTAAGTGCTCAGCCACTAACTGGATAAGGTCAGCAGTGTGAACCCACCAGCAGCTCCATGGGAGAAAAGACCTGGAGATCTGCTCCTGTAAAGACTACAGCCTAGGAAACCCTATGGGCCTACTGTCATATAAGGTTGCTGTGAGTCTGAATCTATTTGACGTCACACAACAACATGGTGTTGAATACTGGTTACTTTTAGGGAAGTAAAGTGTTATTACTTTTAAGGCACTAGTAACACCAATTAGTCTAATGTCTTGTAGTGAAGTAGAGACACTTAGGTGCTTGATTTTAAAAACTAATAAATATAAATTGTTTTCTTAAGTAAGATTAGTGTTTACATGAGTGATTTGCTAAGCAAAGATTTTTTTGATCAGTAAACTTTAACTAACCCATAAGTTTTGACTGCTAACCAAAAGGTTAGTGGTTGGAACCTATCAGCAGCTCCACAGGAGAAAGACATGACAGTCTGCTTCTGTAAAGATTACAGCCTAGAAAACCCTACGGGGAAGTTCCGCTCCGTCACATGGGGGTCACTTTGAGTTGAAAACCTACTCGACAGCACCTAACAACAGCACAACAGTAAACTGAGTGAGAGAAGGAGAAGTGAATACCTCCGCTGTATAAGAGGAGGCCCATCCAGAATCTTCCCGAAAGAAGCAGAACTACTCGGATGGTCAAAGAATCTCTAACCAAGAATTTTTTAGCTAGTGATTTGTCCAGACTAAGAAATGCTCCCTTAAAAAAATGCCAGGGAAGGACTAATGGACCACGACTACCACAGCCTCCACCAGACTGAGGCCAGCACAACTAGATGGTGCCAGGCTACCATCACTGACTGCTCTGACAGGGATTGCAATAGAGGGTCCCAGACAGAGCTGGAGAAAAATGTAGAACAAAATTCTAACCCACAAAAAAAGACCAGACTTACTGGTCTGACAGAGACTGGAGAAACCCCAAGAGTATGGCCCCTGGACACCCTTTTAACTCAGTCCTGAAGTCATTCGTAAGGTTCATCCTTCAGCCAAAGATTAGACAGGCCCATAAAACACAACGAGACTAAATGGGCACACCAGCCCAGGGACAAGGCCTAGAAGGCAGGAGGGGACAGGAAAGCTGGTAATGGGGAACCCAAGGTCGAGAAGGGTAGAGTGTTGACAGGTTGTGGGGTTGGCAACCAACGTCACAAAACAATATATGTATTGTTTAAGTAGAAACTAATTTGCTCTGTAAACCTTCATATAAAGCACAATAAAAAATAAAATAAAAATGCCAGGGGAGGAAGAAACATCTCCACAGGTCCCCTGAATGCAAGAGAGCCTGTTGCCTGTTGCATCCATCAGTCATGCCAGGTGCACACTTCCATGAGACCACAGGTAGTATAGTGTCTTGGGACTAGGGCAGAGCCTGCCTCAGCATCCAGTGAAATGGGGCATGAGGGTTCAAGCACCAGACTCTTTTAAACTATGATCCATGTTAGCTGCTTGGGTCGGCTGAGCCATAACAACTCAGACCTGTCTTCTCTGCCTGCTATTCCTGCCCACCCTCTGCATGAAACAGTCTGAGGGCTGATTTCTGGTCATTTTTCTTCTGGCACCATCAGTTGCTGTTGAGTCAGCTCTGACTCATGGTGACCCCATGTGTGTCAGAGTAGAACTCTACTCCATAGAGTTTTCAATGACTGATTTTTTGGAAAAGGATTGCCAGGCCTTTCCTCCAAAGTGCCTCTGGGTGGACTTCAGCTGCCAACCTTTTGGTTAGCAGTCAAGTACTTAAACTTCGCACCACCCAGGGACTCCTTTCTTCCGGCAAGTACACCTTTTCTGGAAAAACAGAGCTGGCCTATCGGCCCCGAGGACATAAGCACTAGGCACCAAGCTCTTCTCTTGGCGGCTCGTCTCATCCCACAGAGACCCTGAAATAGTAATTTGTGTGTTCTTCCTTTCCTTCTGGTGAGAGAAGAAAGTCACTTAATTTCTGTCTGCCTTTTGCTCTGTGTTTTTGTTCTCTAAACTAGCTACCAGGACCACTGCCAGAAACAGAATTTAACTTTGAAATTGTGGCCAACACGACCAACCTGTGGTGTCCCGATAGCCACAATGCTTTAAATTGATTACATTTTACTTATTTATCTACATGAGGCTCTGTGAGAAGAGACTGGCCATCTGCTGGTTTGGCACTCATCCCTGTGGATTTGGGGAGGTCACGAAGCCGATAACTTCACAGCGCCACTTTTGTATCTTTGCCTAGCATTGCCCCTTGCAATAGTCTCCAAGTGGAGTGTGTTCACCAGTATGGTGGGCAAAGATGGTGCTTTGAGGTGTCATAAAAAACACCCATTTTACATATGAATGTATATAAGTAAATATATACGTATTTATATTAATATATAATATATTAATTCTGTATTATATGAATATGTATATCCACATATGCTCATTTTAAATACACATGCATGCTTGCATATGTGTTCTTTTTTTTTTTTTTTAATTTTACTGATGGGGAACCCAGTCAAAATTTTTTGGATACACTGGCCTGTTGAATACCTCTCCTTCCCAGAGGTACTAAGAATGCATCAATTTTAGTGTCATTCAATTTTAGCATGAGGGATTCTATGATGTTCTGTATATACACTGCACTAAACATCATGCTAAATAATCTAAATAATCATGTCATCTTCTCAGAGGTGCTACGTGAGATGCTGAAGTGACCCAGCCAGTTTCTACTGGGACTTGAATTCTGCCTTTTATTGGACTTTTTGGCTTGTTTGGTAGACAAATAGAAAACATTTCACCTCGTGTGCTTTAAAGATCAACGTAAGTAGAAGAACAGAACTTCAGTTGCATCTTTTGGTCATAGAAGAGAAAGAAAGAAATGGGAAGAGAAAATGAGTAAATGAGTGAGAATGGAAACGCAGGAAGCAAATAGAAACGGTGGAATACTGAAAGAAGCAGATGGTGAAGGGGAACAAGGACTGAAAGTAGGAGTTAGTGTGGGCGCGTGGGAAAGAGTGTACAGGAGGAACCAGCTAGACCAGCAGTTCTCAAAAGGGGATCCACAGGTCTCTGGACATTCAAGACCCTTTCAGGGGGCCTGCAAGGCCTAAACTATCTTCCTGGTAACACTAAGATGTTAGTTGCCTTTCCCACGATCATTCGCTCGTGAAAGTACAGTGGCATTTTCCAGAGGCTGCATAACATGTAATAATGCTGAAACAGATGTGAGAAACCAGCTGTCTTCTTTAATCCAGACAATAAATGGAAAACAATGCTTTCTCATAAATTTTGTTTTGTTTTATTTTGAAAACTATGTTGTTATTAGTTGCTGTGGGGTCAGCTCTGACTCATGGCGACCCCATGTATAATAGAATGAAATGTTGCTCAGTCCTGTGCCATCTTCATAATCCCAAATCCTCTGCCATCAAGTTGATTCCAATTTATAGTGACCCTATAGGGTTTAGAAGCTGTAAATCTCTACGGAAGCAAACTGATGCATCTTTCTCCCAAGGAGCCACTGGTGGTTTCGAACTGCCGACCTTTTGGTTAGCAGCCCATCGCTTTAACCACTATGCCAATTACGTATTATTTAATGTTAACATGTAATGGGCTTATTAATATTATTTTAAAATGAATTAATAAATTTTTAAAAATTCTCCATTTTGATTTCTAATATGTAGACTATGCGACATAAAACGATACTCGTGAAGAGTGTGCTTCTTAGCTCAAGTAGATACATCAGACTAAACGGGCAGCTCCTGTCCAGAGATGAGATGAGAAGGCGGAGAGGTCAGGAGCTGGTTGAATGGACACGAGAAATCCGGGGTGGAAAGGAGGAGTGTGCTGTCACAGTATAGAGAGAGCAACTAGGGTCACACAGCAATGTATGTCTAAATTTTTTGTATGAGAGATTAACTTGAATTGTAAACTTTCACTTAAAGCACAACAATAAAAAAAAGTTTTTTTTTTTCCTAATATGTAAACATTACGTAGATATATTCCACATGAAGAAAAGCTCTTTGGGGTCCTCTATGATTTTTAAAGGAGCCCTGGTGGTGCAACGGTTAACCACTCTGCTACTAATCAAAAGATTGGTGGTTGAAATTCACTCAGCGACTCCACAGGATAAAGACCTGGTGATCTGTTTCCATAAAGATTACAGCCAAGAAAATCCACTTAGGGTTAGGTCTGGTGGGCAGGTCTGAAAAGAAGGAAGGGTGACAAAGGTAACCTTGACAGGACCCATTTTCTACTTCCTATTATAACGATTTTACAGTGCTGTTCTTCTTTGTCGGAACCGATTTCACTTTTAATTGAAATTATCAAGTCATCTACCCAGAGGAGCTGTTTTGGCTCTTCATTCCAGGGGTGTGAGTTCTGTGCGACAGTCCACATTTCATATATTCTGCCCTGCTGTCCTATGAGTACAGTCATCCTTGTGAAACAGTTTTTGTTCCAGAAAATATATCACTGTTGGCTTGAGTCTATAAATTTGGTGATCCTCATATATACATATATCCTACATATGTATATGTAGGATGGTGAGCTATGGCTACTAACCAAAAGGCCAGGAGTTCAAATCCACCAGCCGCTCCTTGGAAACTGTGGAGCAGTTCTACTCTGTTCTGTAGGGTTGCTATGAGTTAGAATCAACTCGATGGCAATTGTTTTTTTGTTTTTTTTTTACACATACGTATGGATTTTTAAACAATATTTTACCATGTTTTTGGTGAAAGTTTACACAGCAAATTAGGTTCCATTTGACAATTTCTATACAAATTGTTCAGTGACATTAGTTACATTTTCCACAATGTGTCAGCATTCTCTTTAATTGTGTTCTGGTTGTTCTGTTCCTACATATATATTTTTAACTTTAAATAACTGTTTACTTTGGAATAATTTTAGGTCTACAGGAAAATTGCAAAGATAGTACAGAGAGTTCCTGTCTATCCCTTACCCAGTTTCCCTCATTGCTAACATTTTATATTACCCCGACACATTTGTCAAAACGAAGAAACCAGTATTGGTACATTATGATTAACTAAAACTCTAGACTTTATTAGGTTTCACCAGTTTTTTCATTAATGTCCTCTTTTTGTTCTAGGATCCAATGCAGGGACCACATTTCGATTAGTCATCATGTATCCTCAGTCTCTTCTGGTCTGTGACAGTTTCTCAGTTTTTTCTTGTTTTTTATGACCTTGACAGTTGTTAGGCATACTGGCCAGGTAAACTGTAAAATCTCCCCTAATCTGGGTTCGTCTGTTGTTTTTCTCATGATTAGCCTGGAGTTATGGGTTCTTAAAAGAATACAACAGAAGTGCCTCACATCTTATCAAGGGGTACGTGACATCCGTGACTTCATTGGTGATGTTAACCTTCATCATTTGGTTAAGGTAGTATTTACCAGGTTCCCTCACTGTAAAGTGACTACTATTTTTCCTGCTCTATTCTTTGGAAATGAGTCACTTAGTCCACCCTCAAGGGATAAAGGGTGGAAATTAAGCCCCGCCTCCTCTAGAGGAAGAATACCTGCACGTTAGTTGGAATTCTACTGTAAAAAATATTTCTTCTCTCCTTTTTATTTATCTGTTCAATCATTTATTTATATCAGTATGGACTCATGTATACTTATTTTATACTTTGGGTTATAATCCAATACTATGTTATTCATCTTGTTGCCAAAATTGTTTCATCTTTGGCTATTGGGAGCTCTTTCAAGTTGGTTCGTGTCCCTTGACATGCCCTCATCCTTTTGTTTTTTGAGCAGTTCCTTACTTTCTGGTACTACAAGATGCTTCAGGCTTATCTTGTGTTTTGCCTGCCTTGACGATCTGCTCCTGTAAAGATTACAGCCTAGGAAACCCTATGGGGTAGTTCTACTCTATCTTATAGGGTTGCTATGTGTTGAAATTGACTCGATGCCACAACAACAGTCCTAGAATCAGAGTCCCTGGGTAGTGCAAAAGGTTGACTGCTAACTGGAAAGTTTGGAGGTTCAAGTCCACCCAGAGGCACCTCAGAAGAAAGGCCTGGAAATCTACTTCTGAAGAATCAGCCATTATAAATCTACTACTTTGTATGTTCTCTGGAAATTTCTGCATTTTATAGAATTTCCTTTCTAATTTCTAGGAGATTCTGTATATTAATCTTTTGTATTCTGTCTCTGGTAATTCCAAGAAATTCTCTTCCTCCAGAGAATTTATTGATTCTTTATTTCGGGAGCTTGCTGAAGCCATCATGGACTGCCTCTTTATGTGATTTGATATTGACTGTTGTTTCCGAGCCATCAATAAGTTATTATAATTTATATTTGTTTAGTGAGTCCTAGCTTCTTGTTTTGTTTTGTTTTGATATGCCCCAATAGGCTGCTCATGTGCACTAGTTTGATTATTGACACCTTTGAAGCTCTAACGTCCTGTCACCAGGAGGTTAGTTCTGTAACTAAGTATGTGCCCACAGGAGTCGGTTAAATTTTCCTATATGCGTTCAGCTCAGGTGACCAGGCAGTCACCAAGTATGTGGTGCAGGCTCTCACCTACAGTCCTAGAGAGGCATGGGTGATTGGTGCAGGCACTGGACTCTGGCTGTGGTAGGGGATCACGTGCTGAGCCAGGCAGGGTGCTGATGGCTGCCCCTGAGAGTCTGAAAGGAAAGTGTGTCCCTATTCTCTAGGGAGAGTAGGTAGGTGAGTTTTGCAGCTGGACTATGAGCACCCCGCTCTGTTGGCTGTAAAGACTTGAGGGCACCACTTTTTCTTGGATTCCTGTAGCAGGTGACTAGGAGGTTTAGGTGATGCCACCAGTCCTCAAGCCCCTGTTGTGGATTGATAAAAGTGCCTACTTAAGGGGCAGGGCTGTTTCGAGGGTCACAAATCTGCCACTTCACTGCTGAAACAGTTGAAGTTAAACTTCAGATGTTTGCCCTGTTGTACTGTGGTAGGGAGGGCTAACGCTGTTGAGATGGGGCCCCACAAGTCTATACAGGGGCGTAAGGCACTCAGAGTCTGCAGACCTCTTATGCCTGTGCCTAGCAAAGGAGCTGTGCCGACCTGGTGTTCCTGGCTTAGGGGAGCCAGTAGCTTATTCCCTGTCCAAGGCCAGGAGAATGGGTCAGGGAGCCTTTTGGGATCTACTTCCAGCCCAGCAGACTCCCAGTGCAGAGACTGGAGGGAGGAGGTAAAAGAGAGAGAGGTTTTTCCCAAATGGGTTTTTTTTTTTTTTTTTTTAAATCCCTGTGAAAGGCCGCACGCATGTACTTATCTTGAGCCACTTGGGAGCTGCTTTTCACTGGTTCAGAGTGACCAGGCAGAATCTCTGCTGCCGGATCACTCTCAATGTGGAAACTGCTTTCTGAGTGCGCACACAGCTCTTTGCCTGCTGCACTGCAGACCCCATGCAGTTTAGGAGTTGCCGGTGCGGCTGAAGAGTTGCCGTCGCGCCGCCCCCGCTCTGGTGCTGCTGGCTTCTTCTGAACCATCTCGCTCTCCCCCCACCACTCAGTCTGATCCCTCAACTTTGCCTTGTTCAGGGCTCCTAGATACTGATATGTAATCAAATCACTCGTTTTTCCAGGTCTTTGTTGTAAGAGGGATATAGGAAGCATCTGACTACACCGCCATGTTGGCTCCGCCCCCATTGTAAATCTTATGGAGCACAGTTCTACCCTGACACACATTAGGTCTCCATGAGTCAGAACTGACTTGATGGCAACTGTAACTGGTAGTCCTAGAATCAGCCATTTTTCCAATAAGCCTTGCTTCCTTTTATTGGCGTGTGGGATTTATAAATCAAGATCTGGGCACTGGGTGTGCTAGTTGCTACTGGAATGTCTTTGTTTCTAGGCCCTCTCAGTAGACAGAGCCAGGCAGCATATGTATACATACTCAGTCACATATATACACATATTATAATTGTTTCTGTATCTATTTGTATGTATATTAAGCTAAACACGATGGAGAACCTACACATTTGCTTATGTTCTTTTTTCAGCCCATAGGCTAGGTATAATAACTAGCTTTTCCTCTCTTTTGCAGATTCCAGATATTCCTCTATTTTATATGTGCCTTCCAGAACATCTCTTGTGGCATCCACTACTTGGCTTCTGTGTTCATGGCCGTCACGCCCCAGTATGCCTGCAGGCCCCCAGGCAATGTGAGTCAGGTTCTTTTCCACAATCTCTCTAGTTCGAGGCTGGAGGACATTTGGGCCCTGCTGTCACCAGGCCAGGAGGGTCATGTAGCTGTGCAGCTGCAGGACGGCACAGTCTGGGAGCTCACTGGATGTCACAGGTCCTGGAGGGAGGGCGCCCTGCGCTTGGAGTATGAATACAGCGGCAGTAAGCGTGAATTCGCTTGCTCGGATGGTTACATCTATGACCAGAGCAAGTGGGAAAGCACCGTGGTGACCGAGTGGGATCTAGTCTGTCACCGAGAATGGCTCGCAAAGTTGATCCAGCCCATGTTTATGCTTGGAGTCCTGCTGGGAGGGGTGATTTTTGGCTACCTTTCTGACAGGTAAGATGAAGTATTCAGCATTGTTGCATCAGTCTGTGGTTCATTTTCCTGTCTGTTTTTCTTAGGATATAGAGAATTATGTCCAAAACTTCTCAGTCAGCTTCATCTTTCCTCTCTAAATACCTATCTCTTCGCCTGTCCATTAATTAACCAGTTGCGACCCTATGTGTGTCAGAGTAGAACTGTGCTCCATAGGGGTTTCAGTGGCTGATTTTTTGGAAGTAGATCGCCAGGCCTTTTTTCTGAGTAGCCTCTACGTGGACTTGAACCTCCAACCTTTCGGTTAGCAGCTGATTGTGTTAACCATTTGCACAGCCCTGGGAATCTTGTCCATTTTTTAGTGAGGCAAAATAACATAGTGGTGAGAGGATGGGCCCCAAAGCCAGTTGGTCTGGGTGTAAATCCCGATTCTACCACTTACTTGCTGTGGCCCCTGGGCAAATGACCTAGCCCATCTCTTTCATAAGGAGCCCTCTTGTTGCAGCAGTTAAGCACTCTGCTGCTAACCAAAAGGTTGGTGATTCAAACCCACCAACTGCTCCGTAGGAGAAAGATGTGGCCGTCTGCTTCCATAAAGATTACAGCCTTGGAAACCCTATGGGGCAGTACTGCTTTGTCCTTTAGGGTCACTATGAGTCTGAATGGACTCGTCAGCAATGGGATCTGTGTTTCAGTATCTAGCGTGTAAGCGGGTAATGAGAACAATAGCACTCACCTCAAAGGGTTGTCACAAAGTTAATACAGAAAAATGTACTCCGGACATATAGCCACTCCATAGATATTGGTTATTATTTTAAATATTTTGTCTTTACATAGACTTGCTTTTTAAGAGGTGCAGCCTGGTATAAAGCAATAATATCTATAAAATTGTGTGTTTGATATACCAGGCATATTTTAAAAGATACACATTAAAATGAATATATAACTCTTAAAGTTCATCTTGTATGTACATAGACCACACTTTAAGTACCTATGCTTTAAGAGATTAATTTATGTGGTCCACATAGTGATGAATTTTACAGGCATGTGCTGGGCACTGGGGACCTAAAGACGATAGGAAAGATCAAGAATCCCTGCTCTTGGGGTGGGCCAGTCTAGTGAGGCTGACTGATGTGTCCAGAGAAAAATTATAGAGCATTGTTGCAGCCAGATCTGTCCTAGAAGTAAACACAGTGGAGACAAGAACTGTGGAAGCCTCAGGGAGGGGAGTCCAGGGCTTTCATGAGGGTCTTGGGGAACTCTCCCCACTAAAACCCCCAACCCATTCAGGAGGTGGCATTGGAATAACAAAATCAGAACCAAAGTGGAGTCTAGTTATTTGGTGGCTGAAGTTATGTTTCCATGTTGAAGAATCTTCTCCACCACTGTCTTCCTGAGAGGTGTGGAAGTTGTTGTCAGTGGGGAGAGGGACAAAATCTGCCTTTTTGAAACAAGATAGAAAGTCTGAGGTATTGTTATGAGTCGCTTATTTATACTGGAGCTCAATGACTAAGATGGGCAGAAAATACCTAAGAAGTTGGTGGACAGTCTCCCCTACCACTAACCTTGAAGGTTTCATTTATTAAGTTGTCTAGAAGGCTATTTATAATGGTTAAGCCCAAAAGAAGGCAAGAAGTTAAAATCAGGACAAAGAAAGAATACTGGTAGGCTGAAGCTAAAGCCAGGAATGTGAAGGGCGAACAGGCAGAGCTTGGAAAGGCACTGGGTGACATGGTGAGAACACCCTATCCCTGTACACACCTATACACATTCAGTAAAGAACTCCAGAGGTGATCTGTATAGTAAAGGCGCCACCTCAGATCGGAAAGGGACAGTGTGGAGGACGTCAGAGAGTGCCAACCAGATGTCACACTGTTATAATCTGCTGGCAAGGGGAGAAATAAGGGAATTCATTTTATTTTTGCAGTTTTGAAATATGTGTTTGTGTCCCTCAACTATATTTGGGTATCTTAAGAAACACTGTTTTTATTTAACTTTTGTCATTTTTTCCTATTTAAAATCTTTTTTTTTTACTTAAAAAGCAGTATATGTTCATTGTAATAAAGTCAAACGATTCAGAAATGTACAAATTAAAAAGTGACAGTGTTCACTTTTCGCCTCCCGCCTCCAAAAACAAAGCCCCACTTCCTAGGGGTGGCTACCGTGATGGTGCCATTGTAATCGTCTGTATTTGTTTCCTAGGGCCGCCATATCATTACCACAAACTGGGTGGCTTAAACAACAGAAATTTATTCTCTCACAGTTCTGGAGACTGGGAATCTGAATTCAGGTTTTTGGTACTCGCCTCAAAGGGTTGTTACAAAGGGTTGTTCACCTCAGAAAGCTCTAGGGGAAGATCCTTCCTTGTTTCTTCCGGTTTCTGGAAATAAGGTCACATTCACAGATACGGGAGTTAGGACTTCAGTATATCTTTTTGGAGGACGCGATACAACCCATAACAAATTGCATATTTAAACAAGTAAATCAAATTCTGTTTGGTTTTGCTTTGGTTAATTGTGTTTTCTCCTCTCAGGAAGGCACTTGTTAGTGTTCCTTCCTGACGCTCAAGCCCACTGCTTACTGCTACCTAGTGTCAAGAAACTAACGTGTAGGGAAATGAGCGGGTATGACAGGGAACCATTTTTGGCAGTTTAAAATCTCTTTTAATATTCTGTTTCATACTTATGTTCTGGTACAGAACCTGAAAAGCTATTATAGAAACTGACTGAGGTGGGGCTTGCTAAGAGACTATTTAAAGGAAATTATGCCACTGAGTCGATTCCAAGTCATAGTGACACCCTGTGACAGAGTAGAACTGCCCTATAGGGTTTTCTTTTTTTTTTTAATTTAATTTTTTTTTATTGTACTTCAGGTGAAGGCTTACAGAACAAATAGTTTCTCATGAAACAGAAGTACACATGTTGTTTTATAACATTGTTAACAACCCCACAACAT